AGATATTGCAGATGCTACGACCGTAAAATAATAACGTGTAAGTTGTCGATAAAATTATTCGAAAAGAATAATAAATATGTACCATTGTTAACGACGATGTCAATCCCCCCAAAAGTGTCTACGGTTTTTTGAATGGCTGATTTAATCGCATCTTCATTACGAATATCACATACCAAGGGAAGAGCTATATAATAGATTAAAATGAAAATATTTCCTACTATATTATTACAAATTCTCCCAAAAAATATTGCATACCCTTTCCACCCGCACGTCTAATCTCTTCTGCTGCTGTATGGATAGTTCCAGAAAGCTATAAGAAGTGAAAATATCAACAATCACGGGATAATGAATTTTTCGTTTTAAAGATTTCAATGAGCAAACATTTTGAGTTTAATTACTTTTGGATGTGGAGTATCTGTCTTGGCGGCTACAGCAATGCACCTGAAACGATTATAAAGATAGGTTCGATACAATCGTGGTGTAATGCAAAGAGTTGATATAATAAACTTACCCTCCGTCTTTTGCAGCTCTCAAAGCTATGGCAAGACCAATCCCACTTTACAAACATATGATCATGGATATCATTTTTATTTAGATCAGAAACGTAAATAAATATGTTGAGCAAGTAAGCTTACCGAGAAGCACCAGTGATAAATAAAATTTTGTCTTTAAGAGACATAGTAAATTAAGTTTCGAACAAATGCAGAAATGATGATCTGCTATCGTTTACGTATACATATTTATCGATATAAACGTGATATACTACGTATACATTCCTTTATTTATATAATACTTTGCCAATCCTAAAAGTCAAGAATTCCAATACATATTATGAAGAGCAGATTGTGAATTAGCCAATAATTGTATTGGAATATCGTCATTATCACTTAACGATTCACTTTTTCTCTTCCATTCATTTGCTTTTTGAATATTCCAAGTACCATCAGATCTTCTCTTCCCAATTTTAATAGTTTTCATCTCGCGATCGCGTTGTTTATCATCTTTGTCAAAATCACTATCATCCTCGGATTCTGGATCATTTAACAGCCATCCAATAGTCCACTCGAACAACGCCGTAATCACTGAGGCTAAAATGAATCAAGTTGTTAGAGAATGTTTTTTATATTAAAATAATATTTGAAACCTTTGAAACCTCCTAAAAAATTACCTTTTGGCGACCATGGCGGCATTGGCGAAATATTGCCACTGCTTCCGAAAGAAGGAATACATCCACGCGATTTTTGCCTGCCTTTCTCTTTATCATATTGTTCATTGATCGAAATACTCCTTGAAAGCACATCATTTTCATCATTCTCATCTTGATTATTCTCATTTTCGTTATTCTCATTTTCATTATTCTCATTTTTATTGTTCCCATTTTCACTATTCTCACTTATATGCTTCAATCTCATGGAGTTTCTCATGGAGTTTCTCACAGAGTTTCTCATAGAGCTTCTCATGGTATTCTTCCTTTTACTGTTTTCGGACATTGCCAAGAATATATCAGATATATATGCATTCCACATTAGTTCTGTCCGTCTGAGACGATCTTTATTCTTATGATCACTCTCTATTAAAATTGATATCAACTCCTTAGGTTTTTGCATTCCTAACTTATCTTCTAATATTGAAAAGCATCTTGTTAACCTTCGCTTTATTATTTCTTCGTTATAATCAGGTGCACCATCTTTGATGTTATCATCAGGTGCATCATCTTTGATTAACTCATCAAAATCTTCAATCCATTCACTGTTTTTATGATGTATTAATGTGGCCAGCAAAACACCATCATTCAATCCAGTAAAACCTTCAACAGGATATGAAGTAGTAGGTAGAACTGATGCATAATCAATAAGTTGCATATTCATCCAAAATAAAATAAAAAATAAAATAAAAAAATAAAATAAAATTAAAAATAA